TTTAGGGTTCAGGGTTTAGGGCAGTATAGGGCGGTATGATTCGAGAATAGGGCTCCCCGTAAAGGGTACTGCAGGGCTCTATAGTAGGGCTCACTTTAACGGTACCATAGGGTTCTGAAATCGGCTTCCCTACGAGGGTACTTTTGGGTTCTATAATAGGGTCCCCTTGGCCTTTTCAATCCTCTTGCTTAATTAAGGAATATACCTTAANNTATAGTAGGATCCCCAATATGGTTCATGTTAAATTAGCAAAGCGGATGAGCCCCCCGTCGGGACCAAGACACATCAGGTGTCAGCCTCCTCGATGGGAAGGAGTCGAGAAGCTGTAGTACCTGAGCCCTTAGACTGTGAATGACGGGTCAGGTTGCAACAGCTTCTGTCGGGCAAAAGTCAGTCCTCGAGTTTCGGGGGTGGGACGCCAGCCATCTAGCTTTGCCTCTACGGAAATCAGTATGCCGTGGCACCAAATTCCAGCTGCTTGCGCCGCAAGCAGTCATGGCTGCATTGCAGACGATGACATCAGGGCCTTGATTTCGTCGGCCACATTGGAGCATGCTGTGGCTGCTTTGGAGGATTTCGGGTTCCGCTATTCTGCTGAATCGTTCTGCACAGCAAGCAACATCCGGAAATGCTTAAATTCCTGCTGCTCGACGTGACGCTGACATGAACAACTTTGCCGGGTGTCACGCGTATTCTCCAGTCCTCCATAGTCTCCAGCAGGGAAAGCGCCACCTCCGCTCCCACAACCAGCCCTACAGCTTCATCCGAAAAGGTCCAATGGCCGTCACCTATCATGCCACTATTCATTGCTGTAATATACTACAATATACCTTAAGATATTATGTGCATGTGTATGCATATGTATGTGTATACGTTTTTGTATATGTATATGTAAATGTATACATATATATACATATATATATATATATGTGTACATATACATACGTATACATGTATTTGTATATATATATATATGTATACATCTGTTGCTTGATTAGTCATGTAGGTATGTATAGATACATACTGATATGTGTACATGAACCTGGTTCCTGGTGGCTCGGCTGCAGGCCTGCCAGGCTCCGCCGCGCTCGGCTGCGGAAAGGGCAGACGAGACGACCACGACATCGAGAGACTCGCGCCGCCTGGCATCTGGCACAGAGCAGGTGTCATCTTCACGTCCGAAATCAGTTGCTGTTGAGGTGCTGGGGCCCTTTGGAGGCCCCACAACATGCGAGACAGACTTGCTATGGCAGCTACTGTTTGATGTTATGGGAGACTCGGCCGGCAGCAATGCAACTGTCACTGTTCCCAAAACCCGCGTCCCACAGTTTGCACCTCCAAGCTTCGTGGAGGAGTGTGAGGGCACTGAGCCATTGCGAGGCCAGGCGAAGTGCGGAGATGGCGGCGCTGAGAACCTGGCGACTTTGCAGGGTCGATGGGTTCAGAAGAGAGATCCATGCGGGACCGCATCGGTCGGAGATGCCGTAAGATCTAGCAATTCCTAAGCGCAACCAGCCGCGTGTCACGAGTGCAGCAGCTGGCTGCCAGAGTCTGTCAGAGCCTAACCCCCCAATGGGCCCCAGGTACCTACTATATAGGGTACCAGAGCCCCTAAAACCCTACATAGTAGGTACCTGGAGGGTTAGGGAGAGCCTACAGCACTTTTGAGTTGCGGGCTTTGGGCCCAAGCGCTGGCCCCTTGGTGTCTCGCAGCAATCGCAACACCTCCTGTCAGGGAAGAAAGGACACCGAAGGCCGAAGAACTGAGTCTCAGTCGTGACTTGCAGATGTGCGCTAGGATTTTTATATATATATATGTATACATATATATATATATCATATTATATATATATATATATGTATTCATCATATTATCCCGACTTACTGCGGCACTCGAGCAATTGCTGTGCCTGCCATTGACGATGTCGACCCAACAGCCTGATCTCCTGAATTCGGTCCCGACAAAGCCGACCTGAGGCGCAACGCAACAGCAGAGTAAGTAAGGTTATAAGTCCCTTAATTGGGGTTATAAGTATAGTTACCTTAGTTATAACCCTACTAAGTCCCATGATCCTTTAAGTAGGGCTTAAGGAGCACTGCAGCATTGCCTGGGTAATTTGAACAGCCAACGCATGGCGCATCAAACGAATGTGGGGCTGCTGGCTATCAGGGTCTGACGCGGCAACCTACGCTGAAAGACAAGATCCATGTTCCCAACAATGGAGCCCTAGAGTGCGAAGTCAGAAGTCCTGCTTCCAAGCCTGCTCGTCGCGGGCTTGGAACTGCCACTTCCGGGCGGTCCATCTTTGGCCCACAGCACGAACATGGCTCAAGCTTCACGCGCAGGGCACTGCTGGGTTTGTCTGCAGACTGCTTCGGAGCTTATTGGACGGCTGATTGTGAGTCGTCTTGGGTTACAGAAGTTCAGCAGTTGCAGTCCTTGTGGACACTCTGACCGGCTCTATCCACCTGAGCAGCTTTCGCACAACAAGATCGGGACCAATGCGTCCTTTACTGCACAGCCATGCAGCATCTGGCAAACATGAAGCCACTGTTGCTGAATACACCGGTGCACTGCCAGATTTGCTAGCAATCAACAACTGTCAAAATGAATGAGGAGCTACGTGGGGGCATTTGACGTCCGAGCGGACAGTACACGCAATGGACCTGACGAAAGGCCCCGAAACCTGATGGTCCAGCTTTCGCTTTCTTCGCTCTTCGCTGACCCAGGTCTCACGCGAGCAGCGAACACAGCCATTAGCAGCGCCTCCAAGACACGGCACAGTCGGCATGGTGCTCATGCTCAGTATCGCAGAATTATCTCGACACTCGAAGTAGAAGGAGCATAACTCTCGCCTCACGTATACACACGGTATGTGCGCATTGAGACATATGCACATATATATATATATACATAAACTTTTACAAGTGCAATTTATGTTGCATATTTCACGTTACTTTGTACTCGACTATGCTATATTATTTTTACAGCATTGCTTTCATTACATTAGAGTACGTTATGCTATATGATGCTCTATTGTGATTGATATGAGGTGTTTAGATCTGTTATGCTATGCTACGACATCTGAAAATCATGGTGTACTAGATAACATTGTATTGCATTGCATGATGTTTTATTGTAATATGTTATTCGGCCTTATCATTTACTATGTGATATGACATGACATGGTAAGATATGATAACATATGGTATTATATGATATGGTGCTCGCTTCTATTATTTTACATACCTTCTAAGAGTTGATCTTGTTTGCTTTCTTGGCATGTTATACTACATTATACATATTGTTATGTTATATTATGCCATCTTATGCTATGACGTACTATGCCTATATGCGGTTGGAACTTATTAAAGAATATGCCATCATATCATGTCCACGAACTCGAAGCTTATCACACTATATCCTGTTGTATAATTCTATGTTCCATTATACATGTAATGCTCGATTTGCATTGGATATATTTGGATATGTTTATCGATACAGAGAGAGAGAGAGAGAGAATTAAAAAAAGAGAGGGAGAGAGAGAGAGAGAGACAGAGAGAAAGTGGGATAGAGCTACAAATACTCCGGCACAGAAACGCAAACGGTAACATGATGACGGCTCTGCAGTCATGTCGGATGCCTGTCTTTCAGCGTGCAACGCACCTGAGTTGCGGGGTCGGACGCCCAGGAGTGGTGGTCCAGTGAATTGTTGAACCAGAATGAGAACAGCTGGGATCAACGCGGTCGTGCTCGACGAAGATGGGTAGCAGTGCATCTCGATTTTCTTGCGCAGGCCTTGCGAGGATGCATCTGGCTCACAGTGGTTCGCATGCAGGTCGCCCTCAAGTTGTGCGGCAACCGTGTGCAGTGTGCAGGACGTTGCGAGCGTAATGCCTGCGATCGTAAACGTGAATGAGACCGCTTGAAAAGGGCCAGAGACCTGACCTTGGAGCCCCAGAGCGGCTCGAAAGCACTGAGACAGAAGCCGGCAAGAGCCGTGTCCAACCACGCGCCGGGCGGGGCGAATCTGCAGAAAGAGGCAGCGATCCATAGAAGCATTCATGTTTTGTGAGCGTTTATGGTGCCCGCACAGTCCGCACAACATGTCGGCTATATTCGGTTCTGACTAGCGATGACTAATGGGAGAGAGATACCTAGAGGGGAGGGAGGGGTGAGGGAGAGGCAAAACAAAAAGTGCACGAGGCTTCAAGGGCACGCTTTGATGGCAGAACGGCTGGTCTGGCTGGGGTGGACTCCTTTAAACTACTTCGTCTCATCGACTTTGTAGGTGGCCCCTGCATCTAGGTGCTTCCTGACGTTGGGTTGCTTCCGTGCATGGTTTGGATCTATGTTCTCTGACATTGCGCGTGCACATCAGAGCATGCTGTGGGTGCAGGCCTGGGGTACATACATGCCTCGGTGTGAGATTGCACGCCTGCACAGTCTGAAGAGCGATCTATGCACACATCTAGCCCAGCACTTTGTAGCTAGTTACACACACACACGCACATGTATGCAGTATACACGCCTATGCAGGTGTGTGTTGCGTAAAGCGTATAGTGCACGTTATGCAAATTCGTGCATGCCCAGCTCATGCCTTGCAAACCGGCCCCCACATACACGCATGATGACGCCGTGCTGGCTGTTGTATACATGGGAGAGAGCCGAGATGTACCCACATGCAGCATGTAGACATATGCACCCGTGAGGGAATCACCCTATCCGATCTATCCATGTGCTTGTGATTCATTCGTCTGGCTTGCCGCGGCATGCATGCAGGTCCAGCATCCCATGCCTCTTTGCCTGGAGCTGAGGACATGGTTAGTGGCAAACTGATAGCTGTGAGACGGGCTGATCTTCAAAGGTCATGATGTCTCTGCAAGTGATTGCATGCGAGCTTGGCCCACGCGACCCATGCTGTACAGTATTAGTCTGACATGCTGATGCTGGGAGAACAACATGGGAGCCATGGAGCAAAGCTCAGCAGGCGTCAGACTGCTCTTTTGATCCTCTTACTGACGAAACCCAGTATAACTCATTGGAAGCCCACATTGACATAGAAATGGAAAGCGGGTCGAAAGAGCTGCCAGAGGCCATGTTGCAAACGTCTACAAATACGACATGCATTTACAGCTTCCTTCTTACATTGGCCTACATTCCAGCACCGCCCATGCCACCCGTCGTCGACTCCAACTGACGTTCGCTCAACCTCGAGAACGGCGCAGTGTGCTTACCCCGGACGCCGAGTTCCCTATGCAGCGGCTTATTCTTGCTCACCCCAAAGAGCCGAAAGCCTCATCAGCAATAGGTTACGGGTATAGCATGGGGCAGGAACCAACATAAATGATGCGACATGCACCACATGACACACTCAGCCTCTTCTCTACAGGACTGTCGCTGATGTCGTTTTTGGTTATACGGTTATAACACTGAGAACTCGTCTTGTGAATTCTTACAGCTGGTTTGATGTTTACCGTTGTTTTTTAACGTTATTGCACATCTCTCTTATCATGATTCTTCACCTACCTTTGCAAATTGCAGTTTCTTTCGGTGACAGACTGCAAGACCGCCTAGCTGCCCAAAACAGTTCCACCAAGAGGCTGCTGCTGCGACAGCCCGGAGGTGTTCGAACGAGTCGTAGATTTGGTGTTGACTCGTACCAGGGAGCCTTGTGGATCCAGCGATAGCGAGAGGGCGGACAGGGTTTGGGATCAGAAAAGCTGACCGAATGCAAAAGAATAAGAACAACAGCAATTGATATAGATGTGGCCACACTGAAGCCTGAAACCTTGGCACGGATGCACTGTCCCTATGCCCCATCATTAAGCGGAACGAGACGATAGACCTACAACAGATGAATTGTTCTGGAAACTCCCTGGCTTCACGAATCGGGTCGCTGTTCGGGATTCATGGAACTCAAAGGCTTACAACTCTTGCGATCGGGAGCTGATTGCGTCTTCTTCGTGGTCGCTTCCTGGACTTGGTGCGAAATTGATCTCGGGCGACCTCGCCTGCCAAGAGAAGCTGGCACGTTATCTAGGTGCCTGATCAGTTGTCCAACAGACAGACACAACCTCGCCCGGCAGGGTTTAGGATCTTTCGGGCAACATGCAAGTGCCTCCTCGTCCAGCTGGTCCTGTCAAGCTCAAGAGACATTGTAGACATCATGGAAAGGCAGCTGCACAGCAGAGCTTTTCTGACAAGGGATAAGAACCTACTTCTGGGTTCTCATGCTCGCAGCGTCCTCCTCATCATCATCACTGCTCTCTTCACCCTGCAACAAAGCTGCATGAACAAGTGGCTGCCAGTGGCTGCTCCATGCAGCTGCATGATGCTCGTAGGACAGTGGAGGTACCAAGCAGGAGACAGCAAGGGTCAGGAAGCAGAAATACCAGCAAACCGGAGCGTCTGAATCCCTGCCATGCCACCTCTTCAGCAGCTTCCGCTGCTAGGATGAGGTCCTGCGCGAGCCATATTGCATCATGGCGCTTAGATGGATGATTGTCTTGCCATAATACCTCCACAGTCAGCCGCATATCTGCATTCCATTGCTTATCGAGGTGCAGGCCAATCTAGCAACCTCTTGGTGTGCTGCGGGCCTTGCGCGTGATGATGCCCACCAAACTTCCGTCTCGACCGAGCACCTTGCAAACGGCGACAAGACAGCGTATGCTCGGACCTCACGCGCTTGGCACGACCTTCCAAGCCCAGCCAGGCTACTGCAAGGTGTCTCATCCCGAGCTGGCGGAAAAGCCTGTAGCAGTTCCAAACCGAAGTATACCTGCAGACCAGCAGCTCAGGCACGTTGAACATGGCTGGTACAAGTACTACACGCCAGTCTTTGGGAAGGCAGGGGCACTGCGAAACTATGCATGCAGCCGAGCTTCTTCAAAACGAAAAGGCTGTTTCGGTTCACATACGGCCTCAGCCACGTTGCAGCCGAAACGCTTCCAAGTAACAAGAGGATCAAAGCACATCGAGCCAAGGTGCCGAAGGTCCACCAATTTGTCGCTGTGATCTGCGACCAGCTCCCGCACCTCTGCAGGTGTCTGACACCTGGCAAGCTGCAAACGTGAAGCGGCTCTTGCACCCGGAGGCAGTCCCCACAAACTTGACTGGCATGTGCACGTCGACATCATCATCATACGTTCGTTTACCACTGCCTACTCCACCATGCACTATCTCGCCTGAAGGGCATCGATGGCAGCATCCTCAGCAACTCTGGTCAATTAGTGCTATCTTGACAGCGCTCCCGCTCCCTTGAACCGGACTGACCAAGAACCGACGATGCCCGGACGTCAAACGTCAAGTTTGCTCCTGACGGAGCCATGACTGAGCAGCTCTACAACTTCTGGACGTCGCCTCTGCCAAGAGCAGAGCCACCAAGTTGCCGCCAAGAATCTTCTGCCAAGAGATGTGCTTGGTCGGTGCCGCATCGCCATGGGCCACGAAGAGACCCGCCTCCTCTCCGTGTTCCAGGATCCTGCTTAACTTGGGATTTGAACTTCAGTGGTTCAGAGGCTCACTTACAATGCAGGGCACGCATGTGCTCTACGTACACATGGTTGCAAGTTCCTGCCTGCATGAATAATGTGAGTGCACATGCGCGAAGCGCTGTAGAATGAACTTGCACTGTACAGGGGTCCGCAGGGATGCTGCCCTCTTCTTCAGAATTCTGCTGGCACATGCTCGTGCGATCTACATTTATGTGATCAACCGTCATGCACACACCAGGTACTGAAAGCCAAAGGACCCTAGAGCCGTAGGACTTACGCGGCTCCAGATTCAAAGCACCTCTGTCATTTCGGGGTTGAGCACTTCACCCTAGACCCTTCAGTGTTAGCCCGACGAGTGTTGCTCGAAGGTTGGCTTACAGAGGCCTACAACATCCAAGTGTGCAGGAGCTTTCCTGGCCTTCGAGGATCCAAAAACGACAGATTCGGATCAGGAATTGGGACGGAAGCCCAAAAAGACGATTGCGATCAGAAGCGTACGAGCATGGAAGAAACGCATCGGGTTGATGGTGATCGAAGGATTCGTTCTACGGGCCGAGCATTTTCTGGTTGAGACTGTGTCTTTGTTGAGTTAAGCATTACAAACGTCATAATCAAGCAATAAAGTTTACAGGCGCCTGAGCCTCCGCAAATTCGGGTTGGGTCTTGCGGGAAGCTTGTTGCCAGACTTTCGAAGGTAGTGATGCCCCATTGAACAGCAGGACCAGGAAGAATTCATCGAGTCTATTATAAGCCTGTCGGGCGAGAAATGAACACATCGAGGTATGGTAACTGAAGTGATGAGACTTTCGCACGTGCGACTGCTTCGGAGTGAGCCTGAACCGACTCTTGCGGCCCGAAATTTTGTCGGTCATTGCGATTTCACCCTCCATGCTGGCGCGCCGTCTTGCCAGATTTCGGCGGCAAACGCCATTGCATTCTCTGCTATGGCAGGCCGACCTGCTCCTGTCCCCCGACAACAGTCTCAAAACTTGCATGGCTTCAGTGCGGAGTTCCCAGAATAGATGTGCATAGCGTCATAGTGGAGCAACGCGACATGTGTCCTGAGGCTTCCTCCTTGTGTGTGAAACGAACAAATATAAGCAGCAATGCTTTGGAGCAGCTACCTTGTCAAACTGAGCAACAGCATCGGATGTCTTACTTTAGTTAACGATGTTAACGTTTGATTCCATACTATGGCATGATTCCACGCGGAATCTGCGAACCAAGCAAGCCCGCCTTCGCAGGACTGACTGGGACAGCATACCCGCCACACGCTTCGTGCCGGGGTAGAGCACCTTAGAAGGAATAGTGGTCACGGGTCACGATGCATGTTTTCTGTGACTCAGACAGAAGCGCACCAGCAAGAGCAGCAGTAAGTGTGGAAGGAGTACATCTGCAACAGGAATTGGACCGATGTAGAGTAGGGCGTCTGCGTCTGACGCCAAGCAGTGAACGTTTTCTAGATTCTAGAGGTGCAACACCAAAGCGCCGGAAAGCTGTGGTGATTCTCGCCAGCTAGCACCTGCAACAG